GGGGCGAGGAGAGGCAAACAAATTGAGGCCAAGTGGCTTTAGATCAGTGATGTCAAACTCCGTTCCTGGATGACCACAGCCCATCAGAGTTCATATTTCAACTCGAAACACTTAATCAGGCTTATTTGAAAAGCTACAGGACATGTGTTGGAGCATGGTTGGAAACACTCTTTAGGGCTGCGGCCGTCCAGGAACAGAGTTGGACACCTGCTTTAGGCCTAGTCCACATGTACATGGGTATATTTATACACAGTTTTAAGATGTCTTTGAGATAAGTGCACTCCAACGTCACAAGCCAAAAATACAGTTTCACTGGGTACACAACACTGCAACCGGAGTTTGAAAATCTTCACCTTGGCAGTAGTTTTCAAAAAGGTTTCAGTGACTGGATACTGCATTTGTGTGGATAAAATAGCCAAAAAGCACAGAAAAATGCGAGTGTTTGTGTGGACAAGGCCTTAGAAGAGTCAATTTGCTGAAACAAGAGATTCTTCACTAACCCCACTTGAGCAAGCTGCCAGATCCATGTTTCTGGAAAGTAAGTCCTGACGGTTACATCAAAAGAGGAGCTGCTATCACCTACAGTGCCCTCTCCTACTGGTGCAGCAGCCATTGCAAAGGCTTCAGGACCACGAAAATGCACTTAAAAATAAAATACCAGGAGTGCAACCACCAGTTGAGGTTTGGCCATTCATTACATTTTAAACAAATCATGTCAAAACAAAATCACTGCTTAGGCATTAGTTGTGCCAGTGGATTTCACTTTCAGTAACAAACCTATACAGACCATTACCCAGCAAGCCTTTGACAAACCTTCAAAAGTCAAAAGTTACATCAATAACCTAAGACATACTGTAATGGAAGTTGCGATAGTAATTCAGGCCTCTGTACATATTAAACATGAATTAATTATTTAATCATACCTTTAACTTACTCAGTAGTGCTGCATTTTTTTTTTGAACCGCTTGTGTGGACAGTTTGTGTGTCAGGTGTAACAATTAAAATGTGACTTTGTGAAATGGACTGTCCTAAATTGTTGCTATAGTCATATAAACTGTCCCTCATGCTAGAAAGCCTATGCATTTGGCAACTGTATTTTTTTTTAAATAAACTATTATATTTCATAATTAAAATCTATTTTCACACTCATCATGAGTGTGGGGGCGGGATAGTCCTAGTGAGGGGGCGACGCCCCCTGTGGCACTGGCCTTGCAAGGAACAATGGTAATATTACACAAAAAAACACCTCATTAAATGGTTTGAGAAGGCCACAGACAAGCATCTTGAAGTAAACCACTGAATGTTGGTCTAGTTTTAAAGGGAAGTCCTAAGCCCTGCATTCATCTTCGGAACACAAATTTAAGATTTATGGAATCCGACAGCTCTGACCCTCCCATGGACCACAAGGGTACTACCACGATCAACCTCCCATGGACAACAAGGGTACTACCACGATCAACATCCAGACACGTACACTAAACTGCTGGGCTGTTTCAACCCAACTTTGGGTCAACCGTTGGGGTAGTCCATATTTGACCCAAAGTTGGGTTGAAACAGCCCAGCATTTTTTTTTTTGGTGTAGCAAGGAGATCTTTAAAATAATCCATGTGACATCAGGGGTTCAACCGTAATATTACGAAGCTACGAGAATACCGTGCGCAAAACACAAAAAGCTTCATTCAAAAATTCACCCTAGTGCCATTTGAGAATATCCACTGAACGCAAACAGTGCATGTTCTGTATCAGCCGCACCACACGGATACGTTTTCTAGTTTGAGCGATAACGTACCCGTGTGGTGCGGCTGACACAGAACATGCACTGTTTGCGTTCAGTGGATATTCTCCAAAATGGCGCTCGGGTGAATTTTTGAAAGCAGTTTTTTGTTGTAGTTTTTGCACACCGTATTCTCGTAGCTTCGTAATATTACGGTTGAACCCCTGATGTCACATAGATTATTTTAAAGATCTCCTTGCTACGTTTCTGGATGTTGATTGTGGTAGTACCCTTGTAGTCTACGGGAGGGTCAGGGAGCTGTCAGAATGCATCAATCTTAATTTGTGTTCCGAAGATGAATGGAGGTCTTATGGGTTTGGAACGACATGAGGGTGAGTAAATGATAGAATTTATTTTTTGGTGAACTAACCCTTTAAGACTAAACTTAAGTGGACAGGTCTTTGGATAAGAGATTAAAATGCACAACCACCAAGCAGAATGAAACCATCATGGCACACTGGTGAAATGTCAAATACGCAAAACCAATTAATACCGAGAAAACTAAATGTTTTTCCTAATAGGCATGTCAGCAATGGATGCAAACACGGATAACTTAAACCAGCAAATCACGTCGGAAGAAAGTCAAACACCTGGGATTGTGAAACAATAGTTTGACATGTTGCATTGAATGCAATGCACTAATGTTTGGTATGCCACAATAGCTTTGGTTAACCCAGTTGATCCATCTGCATAACTCACTCTAAAGTTTAATGATGTCAAATCAAGTCTAACAAGAATTTAATGAACTGCACATGGATACCGCTTCAGCACTCAAACGTCTTCCTGGCTCCATGATCCGGACACTCTGATCAACAGCGCTGAGGCCACACAGGGATCCTGCTTGAGCCGAGACAGTCAAAACATTGCCCTCACTAGGAACAGCCGTAGGTGGAGAAAACTGCAGAAACACCTGGAACAAGAACAAACCAGCTGTAGGTGGAGAAAACTGCAGAGACACCTGGAACAAGAACAAGCTCAAGCTGAAGGACATGTTGCCACACCCCACATGAAGTAAAGAGATGCTAAATATCCACATACCCGGTTTTGGAAACACATTTCAGTGTCAAAAGCTGCACTAGCAGCAACTACATTCTCACTGGGCAGCACACAGAAGGCCAGAATCTGCACTACTGGAGCCATATCAACACTGACAGACAGCTCAAATGACACTGTGCCACTTGTAGGTGTATTCAAAGCCCTCACTTGGACCTTCTGAAATCCATGCAGAA